CCGCCGATCCAAAGTTTGCAATTGATGAATCTCAAACCAACATCTATTCAGTATAGTTTATAATAATAATACACAACAATTTTTATGTATAAGTTTTCTTTATTTTCTGTTTTTTTTTTTATGATAAATTACTTAAATTTTTTTTTAAATTTTATATTCTGTTTACATGTAAATGGTGCTCTTTAGACCAAATTTTATTACTATTTTTATTATTATTATTATAAATAAATACCAATTTCTTTTCTTAAAACAAAGTTAACTTCTTTTATTTAAGATTAATAAATGTTACATAATTACAAATTTGTTTGTTAATAAGAGTATACAGCCAAAACCTGGTATCGTGTTACAAACGAAACTATCAGAAACTGTTGAAGGAAGACTTCTATTTTCCCAATATAATCGCGACGAAATAATCTTTTTTCAATAATTAATAATTTAATTACTGATCAGAGTGCACAGATATCCTTTTATATATGAATAATAATAAAGAAGGTAAATCTCAAAAAATAATTTTATCCAGGGTCAATTTTTTTGCGTAACAAATTTTGATCAGGTTTTTTTTTCTCAATTTATCATGTTTCACAGCCGGTTTGACGCGTTAGCCATTTATTTTATTGCATATAAATATTTAGTCATAGTAATAATAATAATAGTGGCAATTAATTGATTGGTTGGTAATGATTATGAGTGTACAATAAGAAAGTGTAGATAAGATAATTATGTTCATTAAAAAACAAAAGAAAAAACCCAATCATTCTTCTCCACTTTTAATTTTTTCTTTTCACCAATGTATTCTCTTTCCTTGACCTCGCTCAATATCTTCACCTTTCTACCATCTCAAATTTCTTCTTCGTACCATCATATTCACTCTCTCTGCTTGTCCAAGTTTTGATTGTCTAGATTTGACCAATGGTAAACGAGATACAACTCTCGATGCATGACTTGAAAATTTATTTGAGGATTAAAGGAAAAAAAAATAATTTTATTTTAATTCAACTAATACATAGAAAAATACTTAATAATTTATAAAATATAGGATAAAAAATCGTCAAAGCACTTGCATGGGAGTAAAGTACTTGGACCCAAAGCTATCAATGTTCTTTAGGCAAATTTAGTCTATTTTATTACTATTATTAATTACTTTTTCATTTACTTTATCTATATATTGCAGATTGCTTCTATTTTTGTCCTTATAGGATTCGTTTTATGTTGGAGGCAACAATTCTCTTTCATTCGCTACATACACTGCGGGTTTCAATGGCCATTTATTTTATCAAATGAAAATCGGGATTCAACCTAGTCTTTTATCAAACAATTGCTTGAAATCTATATACATATATATATATATACTGTAGATTTTCAATCTCTTCTGGATATTTTTATCACTGGTGAGTTTATTTGATTTTTCTCGAAAACAGCAAAATATTTTATTATTATTTGCTTTTTATAAAGGAAATTTGTGTTTAACAATGATCCTTGAAAGTTTTGTAGTTGATTTTTTTTACCTGAAAATGAATGTTCAAACTCAAAGAATGTTTATCGAATGTTGATTATTATCCATTAAACAAGGAAAGGAGTGAGTTTTTATGACCAATTCATTTTTTATATCTACTATTGATAACAAAGAGTTCCAAGATACAAATTTACACATACACAGACAGATATCTATGATTACATTGTAAGCTTATAAAGATTTGATAAAAAATTTTATTTAACAAGAAATAATAATTATGAATAACGAAGATATATCAAAAAAATATTGTTAACGATTCAACTGTTTTGACTTGCATATCATTGTGGTTATTGTTGTTCTTTTTTAATGGAGTTCATTAATGAAGTGTCAATAAAATTACTTTCAAGTTGTTTTCGAAATTTCTCCAAATCTCGAAGTCTTTTTGAATAATTAATTTGTTCATTTAAAGGATCCTCTTGTCCATTTGTGTCAACTGTTATAATCGATATGCGGTTATCCTCATTTTCTAATTCATTTCCTTCATTGAGCTTGGCTTCAGTTTTCCTTTTGAGTCGTTTGAATACAAAACATCCATTATGTGCAAACCCCCATGGACTGATTGAATTAGTACCTAAGAATTTTTGAAACAGGTGAGCAAATTATGTGATGCAATGATTTAATTCAAAAAGTCAAACTTACCAAATAAAAATATATAAAAAGTCACAATGATGCCATAATACCCAGCAACAGTTCCTAATACGGTCACTAACTATTGATCCAAACAATTATTATATTACCATTTGTGTGTGATGAATCTTTAAATATTTATTACTTACAGAATTGATCCTATTGTAAAGGTGAATGCAAATGTGTGTTAGCAAGAACATAACAAAACATCACCAAAATATATTACTCGGTATGGTTTTTACCTTTGTTCTTGTTCCACTGCCACACTAAAGTCCTGCACAATAACTTTGAAATTTGCAAACTCGCCTACCAAGTTCCTATTGATAGTCTCTGTGGTTATTGGTCAGAATCACAAATAAAATCAGGTTTAAAAGTACACACATACTGTGATTAAAAGAAATATGCAATAAAACAAATATTCTTACGTATTTCTGATTCAATGTACTTTACTTCATTGTATTTTGGTGTTCGGAAACCAATCAAATTTGTTTTTGAATCGGGTAGAGTTTTTCTGATTCTTCTAGAGTACTCGAGTAGGTATCCCTATTGATTGTTAATCATATTGTCAACTCGCAAAATTTATTCCTCTTTTTTAAAACAATAATTAATCTCAAATACATACTACTCCACTTGGCGTAACATAGTAATTCATTGAGTCAAAAGATTCGACAAATGGAGTCATTTTACTTTGATCAAAATCATCGCTCCATGGATCAAATTCTAATTATTTATTACCATATGATTATTATCAAAGCAGTGAAAAATAATCAATGATTATTATCAAAGCAGTGAAAAATAATCAATGTCTGCAATCGATTTTATGAAAAAATTTACCTGAATCAAATACATTCATTGCCACCGTATAATTAGGTCCATAATGTAAGGGGTCCACTTGTACGACAAGAATAAATAAAAAAGGTTTCCCTTGTTCATCTTCACGGAACAAGTTTAAATCTTTTGGTGCAAATTTTCCAACATAAGAACGACCATAAGTGCCATGAGGTGATAGTTTTGGTTGTGTAACAAATTGTTGGCAATCTCCCGGGTTTACTTTTGAACATTTCGTGTCAGTTATTGTGAAAAAATTAACAACAAAACAATTATCATATAACTCTACTTACTTCTATCATAAGTGATCAGACAACGGATGGTAAAATATTCCTGAAAACTGAAGTAGATGGCTGCATTCATTCATGGTTTTGATATATATTAGAAAAAAAGTCATTTGATTTGATTTTGATGATTTATTTTTTAACTTAAACTATTTTTACCTGGTGCGGGCAGACTATCATGATCATCAATTGCCGATTTTAAATATGAGGTAGTAATGGTAGGCTGTTCATCATCTAGCTTCATCACCAACACCACAAAGAAAAGAGTTAACGCTAAAATCGCCACAACAATTGTAGTACGTCTAAGATATAGAATCGATTTTGGCTCAACTCTCTGCGGTTTTTTGACTAAGTCAGCCAGCATTTTTGTATTTTAATTTTAATTAAAAGAAAAAAAAAAAAAAAGAAAATAATGAATTTCAAATTAAATATACAAATTTCAAATTCATTTTCACGCGATTTGTCTGAATGGATTAGGTCAAATGAAAGTCTGAAAACAGAGATAATCTGTATAAAAGAGAAAATTCCATTATTGATGAGTGATAAGGCGTTTGTTTGCTATAAAATTTTTGATAACTAACGATAACAACTATCCAATGATTAGAATCAAGAAAAACCGAGGTCTTCTGTGACACCACCAAATGTGGTAATAATAATGTAGTTGTACAAAATTCCAAAAAAAACGTCTCTAATGAGAATGCATTAATAGCGCGCATAAGATTATTATTCTTCTTCTTTGTTGATATTAATATATTTTTCGTGTATGTATTCAGGTTAATAATTCATTTCAATACCCTAATTTATTATTATTATGATAACGGATCATCTTTCCATATCCTTAGAACCATACTTTACTGCAGCAGAAGACTTCTCCTCTCTCATTTATTGTTTCTTATTATAGTAGATTCTTCTTTCATTTTAAAGAAATGAGAACTTATTTATATCTGACATATCTCTGGGTACTACACGATCAAATTATTTAACAATTGGTCAGTCGGATAGCACGGCTGAAAATAATATATTAATATTAATATTAATATACTTTAAAAACCCGGATTCCCCTTTAAAATTTTATTTTCAGCTGATTTTGGGGTTCCCATCGATGTTTGTATTACCATATATATATCTCTTTTTATAACTTCAAAAGGTTGTCGGAGTTTTTTGTTTTTTTTAAAAAAAAATATAATATATAATATAATGCAGGTATTTTAAAATTTTATAACGTATCGAATTTGGAAAGTCAGTACTATTACTATTGCTTGCTGATTGGCCACTTTATTTTTCAATGGTCTCCTTATCGAAAAATGAGATGATGATTCATAAAATTTACATTGTGTCTAACTGTGGTTTGTAACACAGCCAAAATGAATAATGTTAGTGTTAGCCAACAGGATTTGCTGAAATTTAAAGATCGTTATTTTTTAATAGTCGAATCTCTATGTCCAACAAATAAAAGTTTTCGAGGAACACTCCAAGCCCTTTAGTTTTTTAATAAAATATTCTAAAGTTTGTAATATAAAAATTAATGGTTTTATCCGCCGAATGATATTCACCGATTATCCGATTAATCGTGTGTTGAAAATTTTCACCAGATGTTGAATTTATTGACTGACAGATTATCCAGATCTTGAGCTTTATTGACTGACCAAGTATTCAAACACCCGGATAATCAACGAATACAACCACTAATAAAAATATTGCACTTTATTATTTGTTAATCATTAGAATTTTATAATAATAACAGAACAACAAAATTACAAATTAAACGGATATATTATTAATATACTGAAACACAAAAGGTACTAATTTTTTCAGCTGATTTTGGGTTCCCATTGATGTTTGTATTGCCATATATATATTTTTCTATAAAAATGAAGTCGTACCAAGCTGTAGGATACAGAAAAATTCCTGTTCTTGTTTGTAACACAATCAAAATAGTAGTATCTAAAGATTTTCTATTTTTCTCCGTCTTTTTAATAAATACAAAAACATTAATATTATTTGTTGATCAATGACAATAAGAAATGTCGCTTGATTTGTTTTAATTTTCTTTTTGTATGTTTTATACTATTATATTACTTTACAAAAAATTATTTGCCATAGTAATTCAGTTATTTGAGTAACGTAATAGCTCGCTTAATTGAAACCCTTGTTAAAGATAATACTTATTTACCAATAGATAAACTGGTTCGCTCTAATTGTAAAAAAATAGTAATAGATGTTATTGTGGTGTTTGGATAATTGACTAATTTGATTTCCAATTCACGCACAAACATTATAACCGACAGAAAATATTCACACGAAAACAACGACTATCTTTATGATTTGATTATAACCGACAAACATAGAAGTAATAATATTCACAATAGCCATCTTTTATGATTACTACGTTGAGCGATTTCAATAAGCAATTAATATTTCTTTGGAGTTCATTTGTGTGTAGTATACCTGAAGTAGAAATAAGAAATCAAAAAATAAGAAAAAAATATATATAAAAGAAACAGATTTCTTCCTTGCTTTTTTTTTTTTTTTTTTTTAATAAATTAAATTTTATTTTCGATATTAATATTATCATTAATATTAAATTTTATTTTCGATATTAATATTATCATTAATAATAATCTTTAAATTTAAATATATAATAAATTTAAAAAAATGAAAAATTTTATTCCAAAATCTTCATTTGTCCTAGTTCTCATCCTCATTACAACTA